GCTGGTTTCAGCACCCCTAAGGGGAGCCGCCAGGGGTGGTTGCACGGGCTCGTTCGCGGCCATTTTGTGGGGATGTCTCAGGCGGTTTGCTTGTTTCTGGGCCCAACATCCTTCGCTTGGAGAGCAGATTGTGAGGATGTCTCAGGCGGGGCGCTGGTTTCAGCACCCCTAAGGGGAGCCGCCAGGGGTGTTTGCACGGGCTCGTTCGCGGCCATTTTGTGGGGATGTCTCAGGCGGTTTGCTTGTTTCTGGGCCCAACATCCTTCGCTTGGAGAGCAGATTGTGAGGATGTCTCAGGCGGGGCGCTGGTTTCAGCACCCCTAAGGGGAGCCGCCAGGGGTGTTGCACGGGCTCGTTCGCGGCCATTTTGTGGGGATGTCTCAGGCGGTTTGCTTGTTTCTGGGCCCAACATCCTTCGCTTTGGAGCAGATTTGGAGGATGTCTCGGCGGGGCGCTGGTTTCAGCACCCCTAAGGGGAGCCGCCAGGGGTGGTTGCACGGGCTCGTTCGCGGCCATTTTGTGGGGATGTCTCAGGCGGTTTGCTTGTTTCTGGGCCCAACATCCTTCGCTTGGAGAGCAGATTTGAGGATGTCTCGGCGGGGCGCTGGTTTCAGCACCCCTAAGGGGAGCCGCCAGGGGTGGTTGCACGGGCTCGTTCGCGGCCATTTTGTGGGGATGTCTCAGGCGGTTTGCTTGTTTCTGGGCCCAACATCCTTCGCTTGGAGAGCAGATTGTGAGGATGTCTCAGGCGGGGCGCTGGTTTCAGCACCCCTAAGGGGAGCCGCCAGGGGTGGTTGCACGGGCTCGTTCGCGGCCATTTTGTGGGGATGTCTCAGGCGGTTTGCTTGTTTCTGGGCTCAACATCCTTCGCTTGGAGAGCAGATTGTGAGGATGTCTCAGGCGGGGCGCTGGTTTCAGCACCCCTAAGGGGAGCCGCCAGGGGTGGTTGCACGGGCTCGTTCGCGGCCATTTTGTGGGGATGTCTCAGGCGGTTTGCTGTTTCTATCCTTCGCGAGCAGATTGTGAGGATGTTGTTGCAGCACCCCTATGGGGAGCCGCCAGGGGTGGTTGCACGGGCACGTTCGCGGCCATATTGTGGGGATGTCTCAGGCGGTTGCTTGTTTCTGGGCTCAACAGGGAGGGAAATGACAGGAACGAGGATGAGGAGGAGGAACAGGAGGAGGAGGAGGAGGCGGGGGATCGTGAGGAAGGGCATGGGGGTGCGGAGGGGGAGGGGGAGCAGGAGGATGAGGAGGAGGAGCAGGAGCAGGAGAAGGGAGGGGGGGAAGGGAGGAGGAGGAGGAGGAGGAGGAGGAGGGCGCTTTGCTCGAAGGTCCTTGACGCGAGCAGAACGTTTGTTCCGAAGTCCAGGACATATATATATATATATATGTATATATATATATATATATATATGTATTCATAGGGGGTGACTGCGAGGGGGGGCGGTGGTTGTGTGCGGGGATCGTTGGAAATGCTCACCGTGGCACTATCCTCCAACATGACATGCCCTTATGGCCTTGTGTGGCTAAACGCTCGTCTTACATATCCCACTGCCAACTATCCTACAACATATGCACATGTGGAAAGCTCCAAGGCTACCACGGGCTGAAAAGGGGAAGGCCTGGCAGCTGAGGGGGGATGAAGAGGAAGAGGCTCGCATTCAACCATATTCAAAGCTCACTCTGACTCATACGCAATCACTCGCATTAGGGGTCACTCGTCTTCGTCGGCCCTGTCGCCCACGTGGACGCGCTATTGTAGTCGACCGCTCATGAACAGACGCTCACCACGGCATGACATAAAACATGCGATGCACATATGGGGAGCTCCACGCAGTGAGTAATTTGTTACCACGGTTGTTACCTAACAGCGAAGACTGATAGGTTTCTAGTGGTGTCAAAAGAGAGCAGCAGATGTCTCCACAAGGGGGTCTGGGCGGCATCCGGGGAGCTGTGTCCGAACTCGTGTCCGAATTCGCTTTTCGCAAACAGTCACACACTTCGTGCTCTTCGACCTCCCAGAACTCCATTCCCGGGCCACATTCTGAATGCCTGGAGCCAACTGTGGGCCACTTCGTGCTCTTGGACTTCCCAGAACTCCATTCCCGGGCCACATTTTGAATGCCCGGAGCCAACTGTAGGCCACTTCGTGCTCTTGGAATTCCCAGAACACCACTCCCGGGCCACATTTTGAATGCCCGGAGCCAACTGTAGGCCACTTCGTGCTCTTGGAATTCCCAGAACACAACTCCCGGGCCACATTTTGAATGCCCAGAGCCAATTGTAGGCCTTTTCGTGATCTTCGAGTTCCCAGAATTCCGTTCCTGGGAATGATTTTGAATGCCCGGAGCCAACTGTAGGCCACTTCGTGCTCTTCGAGTTCGCAGAACTCCATTCCCGGGCCACATTTTGAATGCTGAGGCAGGCTGATGCTGAGGTTGCGGCAGGCTGAGGCTGAGGCAGGCTGAGGCTGAGGCCGAGGCTGAAGGCAGACTGAGACTGAGGCTGAAGCAGGCTGAGGCTGAGGTTGAGGCAGGCTGAGGCTGAGGCTGAAGGCAGGCTGAGGCTGAGGCAGGCTGAGGCTGAGGCTGAGGCAGGCTCAGGCTGAGGCAGGCTGAGGCTGAGGCCAAGGCTGCAGGCATACTGAGGCTGAGTCTGAAGCAGGCTGAGGCTGAGGCTGAGGCAGGCTGAGGCTGAGACTGATGCTGAGGTAGGCTGATGCTGAGGCAGGCTGAGGCTGAGGCTGAGGCTGAGGCTGATGCTGATGCAGGCTGAGGCTGAGGCAGGCTGAGGCTGAGGCCGAGGCCGACGGCAGACTGAGGCTGAGGCTGAGGCAGGCTGAGGCTGAGGCAGAGGCAGGCTGAGGCTGAGGCTGAGGCAGGCTGATGCTGAGGCAGGCTGAGGCTGAGGCCGAGGCTGATGCAGGGTGATGCTGAGGCAGGCTGAGGCTGAGGCCGAGGCTGGCAGATTGATGCTGAGGCTGAAGCAGGCTGAGGCTGAGGCTGAGGCTGAGGCAGGCTGAGGCTGAGGCAGGCTGAGGCTGATGCTGAGGCTGAGGCAGGCTGAGGCTGATGCTGAAGCAGGCTGAGGCTGAGGCTGTGACTGCGACTGCCGTTGCCGCTGCGACTGTCATCGCGAATGCGACTGCGAGAACAGCAGAATTCTACAACTGGATTCTCATCTGAATCGCAAGGGGAATGCTTCCAGATATGCTCCTACACATCGCTGTTAGGTTGCTTTGCCGGGATAATGTTGCAGGACATGAAATCTAAGTGCAAACGATTTGCAATTTTGAATCCAAGGGTAAAGCCACTCAGCATGTACAGCGAAGCCCGAGTCCGAAAGCGAGTCGAATTGTCAATCAACACACACTTACATGCTAGTACACGTGCAATCGGCATGCACGTGTGCTCACACACCGACAGATCATCTACGACTACATCGAGATCCACGAGATTGTTTTTTTATCCTCTGGGGGGTAACGCTCGTTACCCGGGCCTCTCCCCCCCCCCCCCCCCCGTAACGGTAACGCTCGTACGCGGGGGGGGTCTCGGTCTTCCCCTCCAACATGCTGGTGCCCGAAGGCATGCGCACTGTGGTGTGGTGGTCGCAGGCGCACTGTGGGCGCTCGCAGGCCATTGCGGCGCTCGCATGCGCGATGCTGGTGCTTGCGGGCTTTGCGCTTGTACTCGAATCGTCGTCGTCGTCGTCGTCGTCGTCGTCGTCGTCGTCGTCGTCGTCGTCGTCGACGGCGCCCGAAAACGGCCTCCGGAGGCCGAAACAGGCGGCAAACGTCGTCGTCGTCGTCGTCGACCTCGTCGCTCGTCGCTCGTCGATCATCGTCGTCGCGCGCGCGGGCGCGGGCGTGGTGCCGGGACCACGCGGCGGGCTTTGCGCTTGTACTCGAATCGCAAGCCACTGTGGTGCTCTCAGGCAGAGAGTGCTGCTCGCGCGCATACTATGGCGATCGCAGAGCGCCCCTGCTTCGCCATACCCCGCCCAGCCCAAGCGTTACCGTTACCCGGGGGGCACGACCCCCCCCCCCCCCCGGGTAACGAGCGTTACCGGCCGGAATAAAAAAATGATCTCCACACTAGCATGTATGTACACATATTTATCGACATCCAATGAGATTTACAAAGCAACAAGCATATTGAATAGCAAACCGACATGCGAACCGATATTAACGACGACATGCGAATCGATATTGGTAGTGACAGGTATGTATAACTAGACATCGAGTAGTACTGTGACCGACATCACAATCGACTATCAATCTGGAGGCTGTATCTAAATTGTAGCAGAATTCACATCGTTAAGTACGTGCAAGTCGCAGCAGAAAGTCAAGTCGACATGCACATCCGACTGCTAGCGAACGACACATCAAAGTGCAAGTTCTTCCCCCTTCCCCAACCCCTTATCCCTCGAAGGTTGGTTCATGAGGTATGCTGATGGCGAGGGTGGGACCCAAGGAGCCCGACTTTCGAGTCCGTGATTCGTGGGCCTGCTTGTGAACACGATCGGTCAGAAATGGTACCCCGCTGCGTCGCACCGCGCTCCCTGACGCAAGCACAGCTCGCACGTTTGCGGACAAGCACGCGGGTTTCAGAGCCCAGTGACTCTTCATGGCCTCAGCGCATGTCCGGTCCCACGGCCCCCCTCTCGGCCGCTCGCGTGGTGGCCCCTGGGTGGCCCCCGTTGCCCGTGCCCCCCCCCCTCTAAGCCCTCTCGCGGTGCTGTCGGTGTGCTGTGCTGGCCTTCTCGCGCGCCCCGCTCTCTCCTGCCTGGCATCGCTCGCTTTCGCGTGCATGTCTGCTCCGGCGAGGACCGCCGAGGAGCCCCCTTGGATCCTCTGGCGAAGAATGACACGCACGACGTCGAAACATCGCACGGGGCATGGGGCATGGACGTCCGAGCGGAGGCGAGCCTTCGGCGCCGGGGCTCCTCCTCCCAGCGCCCGCGCGGGGCGGCGCCCGCCCGCCACGGGCCCGCCCGCAGGACCCGGAGTTCACCAGCTGCGTCCCGCCCCGGGCGTCCCTCGCGGCGGAGCTCGCGGCCGCGTCGCCCCGCCCCGTCCCGGAGCTCGGCGTCGCGTCGCTCGCGGGGGAGCTCGGGGGCGGCCGAGAGGGGGGTGATCTGATTCGGGGGGCGGGCATGGGTATCATGTCGTGGCGTGGGCCACGAGGCCTCCCCCCCAGCTTCCAGGGCGCCTCTTCCTATGGGTCCTTGCGTCCCCAGCCCCCCTCCCCCGCCCCGTCGGCCAGGCACGAGCCGCCGGCCCCGGTCTGCTCCCCCCCCCCCCCCTCTTGGACGCCCCCCTCCCGGCCGCCCCCGAGGAGCCGGCCGCCCAGAGGCCGAAGCGGGAGAAGAAGGCGGGGCAGAGCCCCAAGGACCGGGCGGGCAGCGCGAAGGCGCGCGAGCCACGGGGAGGATTTGGTTGTGGGATCCCTCCTTCTCCTCCTCCTCCTCCTCCTCCTCCTCCTCCTCCTCCTCCTCCTCCTCCTCCTCCCTCTCCTCCTCCTCCTCCTCCTCCTCCTCCTCCTCCTCCTCCTCCTCCTCCTCCTCCTCCTCCTCCCCTTCCTCCTGCTCCTCCTCCTCCTCCTCCTCCTCCTCGTCCTCCTGCTCCTCCTCCTCCTCCTCCTCCTCCTCCTCCTCGTCCTCCTCCTCCTCCTCCTCCTCCTCCTCCTCCTCCTCCTCGTCCTCCTCCTCCTCCTCCTCCTCCTCCTCCGCCCCCCGCCATGGGGCAAGGGGGGGGTGCCAGAGAGGGAGGGGTGGGGGAGGAAGGCGCTGGGGTTCAGAGGAGCGGGGAGCTGTCGAGACCCTCCCCGAGATTCGAGCATCGAGGACCGGGCGCGTCGTGGTCCTTCTTGGGGCCTCCGGAGGTGTCCGGGGGCGCCCGGGGAGCCCCCCTTGTGGGGCCTCCAGAGACCCGCGGGGGACCTCTGGAGGCCTGCCGCCGCATCCCTTTCTCCCAAGGAGTGACGGCTACGGTCCGACCGAGACCTCCGCTCTGTCCCAGTCCGATGTTGTCCCTCTCAACGCTGCCGGCGCTCTCGCTCGCGGTCCGCTTCGCGTTTTTCGACGTACTCCGTCGTGCATTCCGACCTTGATTGCCTCGTGAAGGCGGTTGGGGGGTCCAGGGTCCAGGGCTGGTCAGGTCCAGCCCCGGACCCCCGCTGACGGCTCCCGCGGGTAAAACAAAAAATGTGTTCGACTTAGGCTTATGATGTTGCAACCTACTTTAGCCTTGATCACCAGCAAGAATTTCGAGCCCCAGGAAAGTACCGAAACTAGAGGGTTTTCACGTGTCGAACCCTGGGAGGCGATACTCCTTCGACACTGTTTCGACACTTTTCGGGTTGCTCGAAATTGTTTCTGAAATGCGGTCCTTAACTACGATGGGAACAACATAAACCTAGGTCCTAGGTGTAAGTCGGGCATGCCCCTCTACAGCAGGGACATTCAAAAACAGTCAAAGAATAGTCGGGGGGCGTTCTTTCTAGTATGATATGTTTTTTGTTTGAGCATCTGGTGCTTCTTTTTGTATGTCATCCAAGATCCCCATGTAGGAGGACATGCCAGACCTAATTCCAGGTTCAGGCGAGCGCAAACATGGATGAAGGGGGCGCAAATTAGCGGCGGGTCCCGCTTCCAGGGGAAATCGCGGATTCCCGCCGCCAAACGAGGCGGCACTGGCCGCACTTGGGGCAGGGCGCTTCCCCCGATCCGTGGAGTTGGCGACCGCGCGCCAGATCCATGGATCGCTGATCCACGTTTTCGCGCCCCCGATCTGTATAAGGTCGAGGTCGGTTCGGGGAGGATGCCCCCGTGCTCTGCATGCTTGATGGATGTGTTCCTGTGCGTCCTTGGGGGGGCTACCCTTGGACGTTCTGTGTGTGCTTCGGCCGGTGGAGGGTCTCATGTTCTCGAGGGATGCTCTTCTGGCCTGGGTCCGACTGTACGGCAGGTTCGTGTCGTGTCGACCAGCGGCGACCCCGCCGCAGGCGTTCCACGTTGAACGCCGCTGGCGACCCAGAGTCGGTCGATGCTGAAAGACCGGACGTTTCGGAAACGGCCGATCGCTCAAGGTTGAAGGGTCCCCGCGGTGTCAGGAACCGACGCCGAAGTCGGCACGACGCGTGCCTGCGTAATTTGTCTTTGTCGCACCACGAGACGTGTCTGTCAGGGTGGGTCGGGCGCTTCTCTGGGTATTTCTTTGCCGTTTGTGACCCCGAAGTTTGAATTTCCACATGGATGGATGACGGGCCATTTTCAAGATGTGGTTGCCGCGTCAGCGCCATGCGCATTCGAGTGAAAAGCTTGAACAGATTCACGGATGGAGGGTAGGTCGTTTCCGAATGTGATTCTCGCCCTAGTTTCGTGCCCAGCCGTCTCACATGTACCCAATGGCAACACGGATAGAGTGTTTGTTTTTCAAAACAAGTTCTCGCTCGAGTCTTTCTCATGTTCCATGGCCCGACAATCGTGCAAGTGTTATTGAGGTGTTCGCTTCCAACATTTCGACCTGGCGCGTTGCTAGCGACTGCTTTTCGTAGCGCGAATGATCTCTCTGGAAAGTTTTGTTGGTTGACTGATTGTCTGGAACGGCTCGCGCCCAGTAGCAGGATGCTGCACATCCGGCGGCCGAAGCCCAGGCTGTGGCTCGACCAGCCTCAGGCCGTCCTGAAGTTTCGGCGGGCGAGGCCGCAGCCTGCCACGCCACCGGTGGCACGCAGCCCGAGTGCGGGCGGCCGAGGGCGCAACCCGTGGCATTGGCGCAATCCGAAGCAGGCCGCTTCACCGCGTGGGCGGCCCGCGGCGCGACCCGTGGCGAAGCCCGGGTCCTTCTCTCGCGCGCCGCGTCCCGCGGCGCAGCCGGCGGCGCCTCCCGCCGCGCAGGTCGCCGAGCCACGTGCCACCGCCGCAGCCCGTGGCGCGTAGGCTGGGGTGCACCTCTGCCGCGGCTCCACGGCTGGCGCAAGCAAGGAGTCGGGCCGCACGAAAGGGGGGGGGATCGGGAAAGGGGGGGTACGAAATCTGCTGCCTGCAGCTGGTGTCGGCCCCACCGCGAAAACCCATTCCTAAATGCGTGGGCGCCTCCGGCGCCAGGAGGCGCCGGGAAAGTCAGCTCCATGAGCTGATTCTCAAGCCCCCCTGTCGCTATCCCCCCCCTTCGCCCGAGGCAGCCCTCCGTGCAATGTAGCGTCACCTCCACGGTACAACCTACGGTTTAATGTGTGAAGCAGCGTGGGTCTGGAAAGGGGAAAGGAAGGAGGAGGGGGAGGGAGGATGGATGCGAACTCATAGAGCATGAGGAGTAGCCGCAGGAGCAGGAGGTGGACGACGAAGAAGCCGAAGACGAAGACGAAGACGAATACGAATACGAGGAGGTCGACATAGCTCGGTGTAAATCGTGCCCCCTTCGGCGACTGCGGGGCTGCGCCCGATCTATGTTCGCCGCTCGCCACTTGGGCTGTGGGTCGGCTGGGCCCAGGCGGCGAGTTGCCCCATGTGTCGATGTTGCCCCTCCCAGTGTCAAGTTAGACAAGCACCCTGCTGGAGGAGTGTGCGCTTCCGTGTTGCAGCGTCCACGCCGATGGGCGGCGGCTATGCTTTCGGAGCTGCAGTCCTGTCTCAACGGCAAGCACGGGGCCCTCGTCTTGAATTTCGAGTGGACGCTCCGAGTGGCCTAATGTTGCATCGGCCCGTTCCGTCTCCCTCCTCCCCATACTCCCCGCCTGCCCCTCCTCCTCGCTCCCCATCATCCTCATCCGCCTCCTCCTCCTCACGAGGGGCAGCGTGGGTGGGGGGGGGGAGGAAGACAAGGAGGAGGGCCAGAGTAAACCCAAGATGCATCAGCGATGCTGCAATAAACTGTTCCGTTTCAATTCCCCTCCTCTTTCGCCCCTGCAAGCTCTGAAAGCTTGTAGGGACGGGTGCTTTCTCTCTGATCGCAAGAAGCGCCACCCATGAAAGACCAGCACACTGTGGGCTTGTCAGTTGGGCGGGGTGCTGTTTTGGAGCGGAATTGCCTTGCATCCTTCCGGCGCGTAATCACGAATGCAAGAAACAAATTTAGTCAGGCAATTCAGAACTCAGCGATGTGTGCAGCGATACCCCCTTTGTGAACAGAGGACTGCTCCTCCATCCGTGCAACACCTGCTTACAGTTGTGGCCATGAGCTCCGAGGAGCGTGTGCCTTCCTTGCTTGGGGCATACTGAGCATTGTAGCCCCCGGCCCCCCCCCCTGCCCCCCCCCAATACGCAACGCCCCTCCCCCCCCAGTGCGCTCCGACACTGCCGCCCCGTGCGCTCGGGGGGGGAGGCGTTACATTGAACCGCCCCCCTGGCCCCTTTCCCCCCCCCCCCCCCTATAATGCCCATTATCGCCGGAAATAAAGAGACAGGGCTGGACCTGAACGGTGTTTTCGGTGATTTCGTGGGCCGTGTTCGTTTCGATTTCGTTTTGCGGTAAAGGCGGATTGGAGACAAAAGCGAGGGAAAACGAACACTAAGCGAAAACGAAAAACGCCGGTCAGGTTCAGCCCTGTGAAGAGATGTGCTCTTACAGTTGTGGCGGCGAGAGCACCTGTCTGACAAGGGGCCGCCCTCGATCCGTGCAGTGCTGCAGGTCTTGAAGCGCCCGGCTTTGAAAGCCAAGGGAGACTCGAGCGAGAGCCTCACGTTATTAACGAAACATCATCAACATCACCAGCATCAACATCAGCAGCATCATCATCAGCAGCATCATCATCAGTATCATCATCATCATCATCATCAGCAGCAGCAGCAGCAGCAGCAGCAGCGGCGTCACTATCAGCATCATCATCATCATCATCATCATCATCATCATCATCATCATCATCATCATCATCACCATCATGTGTCGGACGTTCCCGCCGGGCGGCTAGCACCGTCTTTGTAGAGCAGCGCATTGCCGGCCGCAGTTGGGACCGGTTTCAGCGTTACCGGCATCATCACCACATCTTTATCATCATCATCATCATCAGCAGCAGCAGCAGCAGCAGCAGCAGCAACATCATCAGCCGTCTTTCAAATGTTGCAAATTGTGAAGAACAATGTGCGTTGCGCTACGGCGAGAGCCCCACTCTGACAGCCCACGCATCTATTGTTGAAACGGTTGCACACTTTTAAGACGATTGTGCGCGGTGCTTAGGCCAGAGCCCCATTATGAAAACCGCTCACCTCCATCCTTGAACCAGTTGCAAACTGTTCAGACGACAGTGAGCGGCGCCAAGGCGAGAGGCTCATTTTGAAAGCTGCCCCCCTTCCGTACTTGGCAAGGCGAGATTCGGAGGAGGAGGGGGAAATTGAGGAGGTGGAGGAGGAGGAGGCGGAGGAGGAGGAGGAAAAGGAGGAGGCGGAGGCGGAGGAG